CATATAGGAGACATTTCACAGGAGGCAATTGGTGATTTGGAGACAGAAAGATTATATATCATCTCGAAGTCACCTAAAGGGCCTTAAAGGTGCCATCTGTAAAAATTGAGGTTAAAATATCCCAAAAATGAGCAACACGCATCAAAAGATTAAGAAGAAATAAGGTTGATGATGTCATTAAAAAACTGACAAGTTATAGTGCTGCCGAGATATTAACCTGAATTAGCATGCTAAATCACTAGCCCCGGCCCGGCAGGTGTCGTAATACCAGTTTCGACCATGGGAGGCGGTATGCGGGCGGGCAACGTTACCACCAGCCAAACTGCAGTACACGAGTAAGTCGCGCTCGCGCCGGCTTGTGTGTGTGTACTTGAACCTGATGCCAGTCGTGTGGAAAATACAGCCCACTACTACATTTCAGTTCAGGGAAGAGTTAAAAAAAAATGATTGGTCGATATTATGCATGAGGAATACATTTTGGTAAGTTGTAGCATACTTGTATCTTTCAACAGTGTTCGTGTTCTTTTACCATTAGCTAGTAGAGATGATCGGTTCACGTGCGCTAGGGATCTGTCGTGTAAAGCGCCAATACTGTATTTATTGTTTGAATTGCGTAATAAAATGAACAGAATCTGAGAGCTGACATCGGTCTCCGTGTCCTTTTCTGTGCATGACAAAATTGATGTGTGGCGTGAGAGTGTGTGAAAAGTGTTGTGAGAGTTGGCAGCTCTGAAAGACGCTAGCTTGGTCCACATCAGGGAATGCTGTCTGTCAAATTAATTCAAACTAATGATAAAAATGTAATATGAACAAATCGAATATCATAAAACTAGAAATAATAGCCTGGGCTTTAATTTTCCCATATCGTCGAAATGCACCGACTTGTCTATGAGACGGCCCTTATAATTTAGTATTGAGATGTTGTTCATTAAGTCTCTAATCTCTGAAAATCTCCAAATGCTCCACGTGAAACTGCGTTCTTCCAACCTTTTACTATCGCGTCAATTGATTTGATTAATATGCACGAGGGAGACAGAGCAACACAGCACTCGCCCATAATGTTTGAAGACATGAGAGAGCGCGTGGCCGTGGAGGTATTTCTGGAGGTATACTGCCCCCATCTGGTATGGAACATGTTGTATGATTTGATTTTAAATCCCATTTGGCACCTTTAACTATGCATTGGAGGGTTATATTAATAATTTTATTGTTGAGAAGGTCGATGAAAAGCTTCAATGCAAAAATTTACAGGTCACATGATAACCCGCATATCGTTGCCATCACCGTTTGGTGCTACGGTATTTACGTGAATCATTCAGCACAACATTGTTAACTTTCGTTATCTCGGTTATTTACAGATACGTTAATGAAGCTAAGTGACATGATGTACACCGCAGCTAGAAGCTAACGTTAACGTTTTCTAATGTTAGGCTAACGTTAGCCTTAGCGTTACGCTAGACATTTTAAAGATAACGTTCAAATACGTTGTTGACTTAACTTCCCAGATAGCAAACTGACATTGAATCAACGTAGAAACATGACATCGAAACAATGTTGATCTGACATTGTTTTGCTCATCGAATTAACGCTGAACCAACGTCAGACCATTCTTGAAATTAGTTTTGAAACCATTCTTTCAAAACTAACGGAAAATCAACTTGAAATCAACCAAGTTATGAAAGCAAACCAATTTTCGGTTTTCATTTAGCTTTGAAGAATGCCGCTGACGTTGGTTCAACGTTAATTCGATGAGCAAAATCAACGTTGTTTCGATGTCATGAGAGACGCCGTTTCCACGTTGATTCAATGTCAGTTTGCTGTCTGGGTTAGAACAGATGTAGACATCCTTGTTTAATTTATCCGCGTTTAGTTGGTGTTGTGGTCTAGCTACCGCATAATTTAATCCAGAGCTAACACTTATCACGGTTGAGATGTGGTTTGGGAAATGGTAAAAAAATACACACCGTCACCCAGCCTCTCAGGAATCTAGTGTCGGAGTTGCATGTACCCCATACACACAATTTGACCATTTTAAACTTAAAATGACAAGAAAAAACGAATGAAAACTGACTAACTGCAAAGCAGAGAATGTCAGAGTGTATTGGGTTTGCTGCGCACTGTGATTGGCTCATCGCGTTTGGGGGCGTGGCTTAGCCATAGGTCAGTTGGTGCACCTAATAAATGTGTCTCTGCTCCGCCGCCGGCTTTTGAGTTGCTTGTTGCTTAACAAGCTGCATTTTCAGAGTAGCTTCCCCGACACTCGTTGTTTCCGTTCTCTATTTCTGTCTACCTTCCTCTTGTTGATAATTGAGCTGCTGACTCTAAATCGTGGTGATATGCAGGGTTTCTCTCGATACATATTCTAAATTTCTTCATGCTGTCATACACTGCTGTGTTACTATGACCTGACGATGATGCGACCCGTCACATGCGACTGACAAACCCTCGTGTAGACGATCAGTGTGTGACAGTTAGTCATTGTCTCTGACAGCTCGACAGTCACTGTTTCAAATATACAGTAACATTTAGCATGAGCATGTCACTAAACAGTTGCTCGTTGGGGAACGGAGGTCCTTTTACACTTTACTGTGTACTTGGTTTACTTACAATTACATGGTTTGCTTATTAAATGAATTTCAAACAGTCAAAAAGGACTGAAAGGGGCACTTTCCTTAAAAACAACAACAGAAATTCATTTAAAAACCATAAGGGTTTGTATAGGGATTTATTCCTGAAAATTGTCACTCAACAACAGCAACCATTTCATCTGTTGTTTTATTCATATGCAATTATTTTGAAAGCATAGAAAGATAAGACGTCATTATGATAGTAAGTGAACCGTAATGATTGAGTGCAGATGCACAAAGTGGGTCAAGAAAGTGGACCATGCCAAGAAAGATATATTTTGTTATGTTTTATTTTTCTCTTATATTGCTGTAGCAGACTGTCTTTATGCTAGGTTTAGGTGACTGATTGTTTTCTGTTATTTGTTTATAAAAGCAACATTCACTGTGATTAATGTTTGGGTAATATCATTTTTAATATAATTTAGTGTCAAATTAACAATATAGTATAATGGTAATTAGCCATAGTCGTCTATTAAGATAAATCATTGGCTAATTTAGATGCTTTCATCTATTATTTATCCTTTACAAAATCAGTTACTGTTTTCCTGGGGAAGTGTGTTCCCGTTGAGAACATTTGTCTGCAGTTACCTCAGGGAATGACCTCCTACGGTTGAAGTTCTGTTCTTGTTGCTAGGGAGAACTGAGAGCGAGCGCGTATATGTATATCATTCTGTATGAAAGAGGTTATGTGTTTTGCTAGGGAGTCTTTTCACCTAAAAAATCCTTTTAATAAAACAATGTTTTTTATACTTTTAATTCAGCGCTGATCCTTTACATTGTCAACTGATCTGAGAAGATCCAAGTGTTTAATCATGTTGAAGGAAATGCATGTGTGCATTCGCAAGAAATTAAAGTACACCACAACAATCAATTTCAAATGTGCAGATTATAAATTGACCTTAATTATTATATTATTTCATTTTTTTGGAAACATAAAGCGTTTCTGCACAAAGAGAGGCTTTGTGGGGCATGATTGTTAACATACTACTAATACAGTACATCGGTTTATGGCTTTAAAGGAGTAGTTCTCTTTTAAAAAAAACTTTTGCTGATAATTTACTCACCCCTGTGTCATCCAAGATGTCTAGGTCTTTCTTTCTTCAGTCGAAAAGAAATTAAGGTTTTTGATGAAAAGATTCCAGCATTTTTCTCCATATAATGGACTTTACTGGTAACCAAACAGGGGTGCGTTTCCCAAAAGCATCGTTAGCCAACTATGATCGCAAGTTCCGTCGTTATCAGCATAGTTCAACGAGTCTGTGTTTCCCGAAACCATCGTTCCAACGAACATTCGCAAACAGCATCGCAAAGTTGTGTCTATATTGCAACATATTTGGACGTAATAAATCCTTATCTTGAGCAAAATAAGCACGCTGACATTCAGTACAACCGGTGCCATTTATTTAGAATACATACAAATGGAATTTACGTCTTTTAGTTTGTCAAAAGATTTGAAGTAACGTGTTTGAAGAGTGCACATGTGCGAACGTGCTCCACTATGTAAGAACGAGCCAAATATTGAGTCTGGTAATAAAGCAAAACAACTGAGAACAATTAGAAATAGTCCTCAGATGACATGTTTGTAATTTATATAAAACAAATCTAGCGTTAATTGGATCTCAAACAGTTTCATTAAAAGTAGTTATTACTCCACCACGTGCAAAACCAACGTGGTTGAACGATACTTTGCGAAAATAGGTTTCGGGAAACAGTCGTGACTAGCCAGTTGATTTCTCCAACGATGCATCGAACTATGGTAGTGAAACAGCGAACTACGTTGTTGTACGGGAAACGCACCCCAGTTCAAAATCCAAAAGACAGTTTCAGTGCAAAATGTTCAAAGGGCTTTAAACAATTTCAGACGATGATGCTCGCCTTGCTCTGTTCTGTGATGCGCGTTCGTGACTCATCAAACAGTCATCAAAATGAATGAATCTTTTCCCGAGTCCACTCGTTCATTTCGTTCATTGAATTAACCAAATGACACGAAAAAATATTTGTTCATTTTGATAAACAAGTTCGAACAGGAGAGTCACGAACGCGCATCACAGAACAGAGCAAGGTGACCATTTGAGCTTATAAAATTTAATCTTTGTTATTTTTTTTTTTAAATGACCGATCATTTTACTAGATAAGACCCTTATTCATCGTCTGGAATTGTTAAAAGCCCTTTGAACAGTTTGCAGTTAGCACTGAAACTGTCTTTTGGACCTTGAACCGTTTGGTTCCCATTGAAAACCCATCCCATTCCCATCAAAAACCTTAATTTCTTTTCGACTGAAGAAAAAATGACATGGATATCTTGGATGACATGGGGGTGAGTAAATTATCAGCAAAAGTTTTTTAAAGTGAACTACTCCTTTAACTATTTTTTTTTTCCGAAATTTCCGTCATTTATGAGAAAATACTTCCTCTCCATTGACGGAAATTTCTGGCTTTCTGGTGACACACATTCTGAAAGAGTATCTCCTGATCAAAACAGGTGCATATGTAAAATAACGTGAGATCATCAACATTAAACAGCATTTAAATCAAAATTGCCTAATGTTACTGAATGAAATTTTGACCCAGGACGAGGTATAGGACTGTGCAAGCATTAGATTTGTTGATGCACTCGATCTACTCCATCTATGGTTTTATCATCGTTCTGAATCCAGATGTACAGTAGACTTTGACAAAAATGCTATATTCTCAACTTTTTGCTCAAAATGTTGCTTTTTTATGAAACTTACCCACATGTATTGCATTAAGCTAGAATAAAAACAGTTTTTTGTTTTAAAACAGAGGCTCTCTTCTTTCTTTTGACATATTGTATGTTTAGTGAAATTTGGCAACAATAATCAAAAATGCTGGCAGTGGCTGGCAACAACAACAACAAAAAAAAACACTGGTGAGGAAATAGTTGATATTGAACAGCATTATGTTTTTTTTGATAATTTCTTATTTATAATTCTGTTGAAAGTTTTGTGTCAAGTCATTTATAAATCTGTTATTTACCCCCCTTGACAGGTTGAAGACAAGCCCTGATGTCATCTACTCAAAACTAGTATCTCAAACAACAGTGTGAAAGATGCCAATACTTACTTTAGCTTTAAGTTTGAAAGCGGAGAGAGCTCCAGACCTCAAGGGAGGATCAACAAGACTCTACTTGAAAGCTTGAGAACACATGAGAAACATGAGTGTGAATGATGAACACCCTAGACCCTTCGGGACCAGCAGTGAAGATGGCTGTAAGGAAATCAGGAATAACAACAACAACAAGGATACTGAGGATTCGCTGGATGGAGATGCCAATGCTAATGAAATCCAAAGGGGAGATGGAGAAACAACTCTGGAGGCAATTGATGCCCTGCCCTCTGTGGTATCTCACACCGAGAAACAGGTGAAGATGACTATTCAGGCCACAGATTCCCCGTGTGAAGACCCGGAGCTGGCTGAGTTTGAGATGTTGGAAAGTCAGGAAATAGAGGATGAGGAAAAGAACAATATTCCTAAAGGTTACATGAAAGGGGTTTTATCCACCGATATGACAAAGACCGAAGCAAAATCTCTGAAGGATAGCAAAAGGTTTTCCCAGTTTACTTCAAAAGAGCAAGAGTCTACAGTTTGTCCTCAGTCCTCTAGCAAAGATTTGGTGACCAGCATAGCCAGGAATGACTTTAGCTCTGAAAATGATGTTTTTGTTTCTTGCCTCTCCACAATGTCTAGTCTTGGAGGAAGTCTTGCTAGTGCTCTGGACAATGCCGGTCGAACCCAGAGCTCTGATTCGTGGCATGCTCCCTCAGAGCCATACCGAACTCTCTCTGAGGACCTTACTCTTGCCTCACAGTACTGTTTGACAATTTCAGATAAAACACGGAGCTCCCTACATACTGAGGGCATGCATCATCAAGTAGGAAAAAGTACAACGCACATCGGCAGTGTCAATCTTAATCTTAACTCTACTGCCTTGCCCGAAGAACCTCATTTAGAAGCACAAGAAAACCAACTAGCTACAGACTTTGTAATATCTGAGAGCTCAGGGCAACTGACTAATGGCACGAGTGAATGTAGCATTGCAAGGATCACAAAGGTCCATAATGAACCAGGAAGTGCCAATCAAGATGATCTTAGAGAATCTGGAGATCGTGTGAAGGAGTACCATGCAAAAGAGGAAAAGGCTCTAAATTTGAAATCAGTATTGACTGAGAAGAGATCTTGCCAACCTCTTGTCTCAGACCATATTCAGTCTACTTCACAAAACAGAAGGTCCTCCCATGAGGTCCTCAAAAACCAGAATGAGGAATCTCCTGAAATTGCTCTTAAAACATCGAAACTAACCTCAAAAGGTGCGCCCGTCCACTCTGATTGTTCTGAACCCCAACCGTACAAGAAGCAACCATCTTTTGAAAAGACCCGAAGATCTAGTTCATTGAGTTTGGAAAGGCGAAAACCTTGGGGCAGCCCATCTCGCTCTGAGACCCCCCCATCCCCTAAAACCACCTGTTCACCTCGGAAACAGCCACCTTCGTCACCAGCCAGACATACTAGCACAAGAGAAGCGAGTCAGGACCGGAGTGAAACCTTACAGAGGGCAAATACTGGTTTGAGGCAACCAAGTAAAAGCCTTCTCAGTAGTAGTTGCAGTCTCCAAAAACCTGTCATTCCTCAACATCCCACTAGAGCAGAGTCTGAGTCTAAGTCTTCTCCACCTCTCAAGCCCAAAATTGTTCGGCCAAAAATCATAACCTATGTCCGCAAGAGCCCTCAAGCGAAACCAATGTCTGAAGGTCCCTATGAAGTATCGACACTACCGCCGAGACTTACACCATACAGTAGCTCACCAACCTCAAAAGAGCCCAAAGCCGAGGGGTTCAGAGGTTCGCCAGTGCTCAACTCCTCTAATATTGTTTATGACAAGTATCGCCAGGAGGTACAGAGGTCAGGGTACTACTCCCCTCCAGGACTGATGGCGTCTGGGATCAGGCCACCTAGCCACACTGTCCCCCATAAACTGGTGGGAAAATCGGAGAGTTTCCATGGAGAGCTTCCAGATAAATACTTGCATGAGGTGGGACTTCTCAGTCTATGGTTCGCACTGTCAGTCCAAATCTGATTATTTCTATATCTGATTGGAATCCGATCTAAATTATTGACTGTCCACACTGGGTATCGCAACTGTTCGGATCTGATTTGTGTGTCCCATGCCACTCCCTCGTTTTCTGGAATACCTACGTTTGTTTCTATTGCAATGTCTATTTCTTGCATGTAGCCCATTGCATGTAAAAGTGCGGATTCGCTCTCTCACTTAAAAAATGTCAGAGAACGTGCAATTTTGTTAAATGCCCAACTTTGTTTAAAATAATTTGGGTCTTCTCAGGTCCATTTGGAAAAGGCAGATTAATTTTAAATTACCCGAGACCCAAGGCCACTAACACCGAACCCGAACCGTGTCCGAGACACTCGTCAGAGTTTTGGACCCGAAGCCGCTCGGGTCTCGGGTCGGACCTCGGGTTTTTGGATCCAAGTGGACCCGTGAAGACCTCTAACGTCTAATGTAACGGCTTGTATGAGTGGCTTTTTTCCATGCTGTCATCTCAGCCGGAATCAAATGTCTCCATTATATTGTAATTTTCTGCTCGATTGGTAATATTATTGGATTCCAATCGGATATGCACAAAAAATCAATTTGGACTGAGTCTGATCGATGGTTTAGATGCTAACACTGCATTACTAAACTCTAGATACATCCGTTGTGCTTAACTCTCAACTGATTCTTTAAGTTTAAGTTTGTGGTTACAAAGACATCAAAATATACTTCTTACTGTTCCAGGTTGGTAGAGCGGTTCAGATAAATACCCATGATGCCGCTGCTTCCGTTTTCCGCTTTCCCAGAGCCTTAAGGCCTCAGCTTGGCCTTGGAGCCGTCACCAGACAGCCTGCTACTAAGAACAGGACTGTATTACCAGGTCAAAGATCGGCTTCACCCCTCAGCTATACCGCTCCAGCTGTCCATGCCTCAAGTAGTCACCAAGAACCCATAGGTCAGTAGGTACTAAAACTCTCAAGTCATGTCCCTAGTTGTCAGTTGACGTTGTTCAGAATGTGATATTATTAGTTAAACAGTATTGATTTGTATTAGACATTTGCTTAAAATATAGCTAGAGAGGAATATAAATGACTAACTTCACAGTTCTATGCCGCCAGTACACAAAATCAGACTTGTTTCTCATCACAATGCCCACACACAGAAAAATCCCATCAGCAGAGGTTATGAAGTGCAGTCATTGATTCTTATAGGCGTTACCATTTCTCTTTGAAATGTAAAATTCATGACAGCAAGGACTGCTGAGATGCACTTATTTTTGTTCACTTATCTTCAAATATCTCTTTGGAGATTGAAAACTGTGACTTTGGGAAAACCTTTCGGAATCTCACTTTTATACAGTAGTTGTCTCTTTTAAATGGGATCTTACATTTATTTTCTCCTTAGTCTTCTGAAAGTAAATTAAGGAACTGGATTTTTGCCAGTCAGTTACATAAAAAAAAAAATTGATTTCATTTTATGATTATAGATTGTAGAAAGGGGATACAAAGCCAATATTTGTTCGAACGATCAAATCTGAAGGAACTAATGTTTGTCAACTGCTTTACAGTGGATCAGAAAAGACTAGCGTTGGGTGTGGCTCCCAAATTTATGCTCCCCAAACCGGGTCAATCTGGACTACGTCCTCCCGGCTTCTCCCATCTTCCTCCTGCTCGACTGGCCGCCTTTGGCTTCGTCCGTAGTGCTAGCGTGTCTTCTGTGTCCAGCAACCAATCAAATGACAGCACGCACAGCGACCCCTGCCGATCCAGCCGTGAGTTTTACATCTCTTGTCATAAACATGCTGTTTACAGTACACTTCCCATTGTATAGTATGCAGATGTCTGACTATTCTGGTTTTGACAGATTTCTTAGCTGCTTCTAGTTGCGTTTGTTTATATACACTCAAAAAAAATATATGTTGGCTTTACTTAAAGGGTTAGTTCACCCAAAAATGAAAATTCTGTCAGTATTTACTCGCCCTCATGTTGTTCCAAACTTCTATGTGTTTATTTGTTCTGCTGAACACAAAGGAAGATATTTGGAAGAATGTTTTAATCAAACAGATCTCAATCCCCATTGACTACCATAGTATGTACTATGGTAGTCAATGGGGACTGAGATCTGTTTGATTTACTCACCCTCATGTTGTTTTATGTGTTTATTTGTTCTGCTGAACACAAAGGAAGATATTTGGAAGAATGTTTTAATCAAACAGATCTCAATCCCCATTGACTGTAGTCAATGGGGATTGAGATCTGTTTGATTAAAACATTCTTCCAAATATCTTCCTTTGTGTTCAGCAGAACAAATAAACACATAGAAGTTTGGAACAACATGAGGGTGAGTAAATACTGACAGAATTTTCATTTTTGGGTGAACTAACCCTTTAACTTTTTTATGTAACCAGGCTCCATAAATCTACTTTTTTAGGTCAACTGGTTCCACATAACATAACTTGTTCATGTAACTTCAACATGGATGTGGAATCCCAGTTATGGGGAATCTATTTACATAAAAAAAAGTTAAATAAAGCTAACATACCATTTTTTTGAGTGTAGAGGTATACCTCTAGTTGTGTATGCCTTGTAGTCGTGATTGTTTAGAGTTCTCTAAAGTGTAAGGAAATGATACAGCAGCCCATTCTTAGACCACATGCTCTAGTACTGGTATTGTGTTAGGATTAGTATAGGCCTTGTGGATTATCCAACTCTTCCTGTCATAAGCCTTCTTACTCACAGATACAATCGATCAACACCCTGCACTGTATGCAAGAAGATGCATCTCAGAGCTTAATGTATAGAGCAGTGTTTCCCAGTCTTTTAAAGTGCCCCATCCTCTTTCATATAATACCTTTTGTATAGTGTGTAATAGAGCTGTTTGTGAATGCAAATGGTCTGCAAAGTTCTCAACAAATGAAGTTATTGTCTCTCAAAAGAAAGAACCCATTTTAAACCTGAAGCGAGTCGTCAGTAATTTCAGTCTTAAAGGATTAGTTCACTTTTGAAAAAACTTTTGCTGATAATTTACTCACCCCCATGTCATCCAAGATGTCCATGTCTTTCTTTCCTCGTTTAAAGACATTTGAAGCTGCATCTGAAACAGTTTTTAACCGTCTTTTGATACTTGAACCATCTGGTTCCCATTGAAGTCCATTATATGGAGAAAATCCTGCAATGTTTTCATCAAAAACCATTTCTTTTCGACTGAGGAAAGAAAGACATGGACATCTTGGATGACATGGGGGTGAGTAAATTATCAGCAAAAGTTTTTTCAAAAGTGAACTAATCCTTTAATTACTGCTCAAACCTACCTAGGTTTGTAACACATTTGTAACACATTTGTAACACATTGTAACACACAGTGTTTTCTTTGACCCTCAAACACTGTAGTTGTAGCTGAGGCCTGCAAGAGTTTGGTTTGTGATGTAGACATGTTGAGAAGACGCCGTTTTCTGCGCTACATATTTTAGATCAATTTTAATACATACACTTCCATGCCCTTGGGGAAAAAATGTAGTTAATACCAATTAAAAGAGAAGTCTGACATCTTTGCACTCTGCTCCTCGTAGAAATACTATTATTAGTTATTTTGGTTGCACTTCACTTAAGGGTGATGTTGTTACTGTGTAATTACACAAATAATTACTGCGTAACTACATGTACTTACTATGAGGTTATGGTTTGGATTTGGTTTCGGGTCAGTTACTTGTAATTATGCTCAATTTACTGTTCTTACTATAGTAAGTACAACATGTAATTATGACACCTTAAAATCAAACACCTTTATTTTTTTTTTATATCATATTTTGGCAGTTATTAGTCAAGATAAAGGCGACTGTGATATTCTTTATATAAATGTATTAGTTTTATAGGTTTAAACCTCCTGGAACCTGCATTGTAATCATGTATTTAGATCAGATTCCCAGTAAACAAACATCCCCATTCTCGTGTAATTTGGGTGAGATTTGTTCATTCATACAGCGTGCCAGAGCGATGTCCTTGGATGTTATGTAACTGTTCTTTGAATCTGGCGATCAGAAATGAGAAGAGCTCTTACAGGAGGATTGCAAGAGTGTGAGATCAGACTCATGGGTCGACAAAAACAACTCTAGAGAAACAGACATAGAAATACAATTGTTTATCCATGCATGACCTCTCAAATCTAAAAAAAGAAATGACTCATTTGACCACTCTATAATGAGTCAATATGTTTTAATGTTGGCAGTCTATCTTACAGAACAATGTGATTCAGATATAACATGAAGAATGAAATATCTAAGTCTACTTCCTTCTTCCCTAGTAACTGATTGCTACTTGGTAAATCTGCATTAAATAGTGGTTGTTTCATGCCTTGAGCATAAGCTTGCAAACTTCAAAGCATCATGTGCTGCCTCTTTAATCACACAAGCCGCCATTTCCCAGTCCGTTTCTCCACATTTTTCAGGAAACATAACTTGTGCGTTGGAGGTGCATCATCTCATGCTCCAAATAAGCGGCATGTCGTGTCGCGGTGCAGAACTCAGCGATAGAGGATATATTGGGATATATTGTGATGTTCCTAACGGAAATCTTTAGACATGCTGTTTGAATGCTGTGTGTGTGAAAACATCCGCCATTTCTGTCACCTGGTTTTGACGCTATTGTTGCGTGTCGCATTAAGACCATTCAAAATCTGACTCAGCTACTTTTATGAATCAGACATCGCTATTTTAATTCATCTGACAGAAAACACAAGGCATGCGACTCCTGCACCAGCGGAGCAAATGCTAAAAAAAAAAGTTGCTGCCTTAAATTTTTAAGTATAATCCACTTGGATGTCTAACGCCTGGTTCAGATTACACGATTTTAGCCCGATTTGGGCACTATCCGTTTGATGGAGCGTGTCGTGGGGATTCGTAAATGACAACGGCGCGATCTGCGATGCTTCACGACATCACGACAAAAAGACTAGCATGTTTAATTTTTTTAACGGTCGTCCACGACGGTTACGTCACATGTATGATGTTGACCAATAGGAGCACAGAAGCTTTTCCGTACACAACTTTCAAAAATGGCGAAACGAAAGCGAGACGATGGTGCTAACGTTAAAACTAAAAGTAAAAATATATAAGAAAACAATATTTTACCTGAAGATCTCTTCGGAGGATTGACAGCCCATACTGTCCTCTTCGAGCAATAGAGGAACGTATCCATTGTCGGGTTTTCTTTCTTTTTTTACTTTTTTCTGAACACAGAACAGCCAATTCAACACTCACCGCTTCATTCGTTGTTTGTTTAAGTTCGTTTCCGGAAGTCACTCGCTACTAGTTTCGCCTTCTTGATGACATCATGTATGCACATGCGATGACTGGTCAGGAAGCAATGTGTAGTCTGACGTGTCTTGTACACGACACAAGAAGTTTGTAGGAGTCAAAATCGCGTAATCTGACACAGTGACTATCGTAACAGACAAAAAAAAATCGTGTAATCTGAACCAGGCATAAGTCATTTCAACTAAAATTTTATTAAACTGATCTAAAATAAAAACAGAGTTGAATCTTGTATAACTTATTTTGATGAGTTAAAGTGATGTAAAAACATATGTTGTCATAACTTATTCTTATTCTTACAGGGTAGATCGTTGGAAATACCTCGTTGGTTTTTCCTTTTCAAACAGGAAGTTGAGGCAGGGCATATTAAAGGGCTTGTCTTTAAAGTTGGCATGAAATAGAAGTTGCGGTAGTCTTTTCTGATGTATATTTAAGTGAAATGGCTTCTCGAACAAGAACAAATCGAGGGTTTGGAGCCAGAGGTGCATTTTGTGGCATTTTGGGCGAATATGAGTGTTTTATATCAAAATAAAGGTCTCAATGAGCTCTATCCAATGGTGCCAAAATACCTATCTGAGATCAAACTGTATTGAATAAAGCAACAAAAAGGCGTATCTGACATATTTTACCATTTTTTAAAAAATGTTTTAGAACATTTTATGAACATTGTGTTAATATGCCATACGTTTTGTCTCTCCTGTAAAGTTGTTTAAAGCCACTTACGCCCCTCAGGCTCCAAGCCCTCAAAATGCAGGACGGGACTTGATTTTGTGGGGATTTGATTGGATGGTTGGGATTTGCTATTTGTGGATCTCATGTGAGTGACAGGTGGCCCCGCCCTCACACCAATAAACACATCATCAGAGAAGAGATGAGATGAGCAGTAAGAGGAAGAGATGTGCACGGATAAATAATTTTTAATACTGCAATACTGATAAAAAATATTAATTTTGACTTCATGGTGACTGAAAGGCTTGGGTGTCCTCTTATTCATTTATTCATTTATAGCCTGCATTCACTGCAGTCGTTCCCTGAAGACTGCAGATAAATGCTGAGTCTAGCAAACAGTGTTTCTAAACTGCTGAGTAATGTATGTGTTCTCACAGTACAGTACTCTCTCTCTCTCTTGTACTGTAAGTTCAGTGTGTTTTGAAACCACACCCTTGTTTAGCATCCCGTTATGACATCAGCAGACGTCCTGACATGTCTGATGCTATAGTGGGGACACATTTGTCTCTCGGCTCGGACAGCTGAGGGGTCAAGAGTGGCGCCTTCCCTCCCCAATTTTGTCTCCTCTTAAAAACCCAACGACTCGTCTGTTTGTTATTTAAATCTGGAGACTTGTATGTGCATGCAGCGTTTTTGTTCGATAGATAAAATATAACGGACAGCTGTCGACCCCTCCCGAGTGTCCACATTTAGGCCCGTGTCCCCACTTTCACTCGTTTCCTCTGTGGGAAAGT